ATTAAATAAAAATTATATCATTTAATGTTAGATTTAAAAAGAGAAAAAAAGATATGAATATAATATATAGTTTTCATCAAAATAAGAAAAAACTCATTCTGGTTTTTAACATATTGATTGCAAAATCTGTAAGTTGGCACAACTGTGTAGTCAATTACCGGCCGGTCATCAAGAGTGGGGGAAATACGATCATCGGCACCCGCGAGTCTGGAGGGGCCAAGAGGGGTCGCTACAAACCACGAAGAGACGAGAGGAGGGGCAAGAGAGAAGTGTGGCCGGCGTTCAGCGCATATAGGTAGTCGTGAGAAGAGTCAGTCGGTGACGGGTAGTGTCTTTAGTGGCGTGGTGAACGATTGAATTGAGCCGCTTGTGTTAAAAAATGAGCTGGCAGGATTACGTTGACAAGCAGCTGCTCGCGTCTCGGTGTGTTACCAAAGCTGCGATTGCAGGACACGATGGCAATCTTTGGGCAAAGTCTGAAGGCTTCGAAGTGAGTATATTATTCGACTAATGTCTCGCAAGCTTATTATTAGCTAGGCGACAAGAGGGAAAGTACGCACTGAATATATCTTGAAGAAATTTAGATATATAATAGCAGTAGCTTGTATTTGGTATTTTTTATTTTTTTTGATTTTCCTTTAAGTATTATTCACAACAAGTATCGAATATTTTCTATTTATTCAGATTCCAATCGCGTAGAATTGGATATATCTAGTATATGATATATTAATATGTAATGTATGTATTTATTCGTAATAGAATTTTATGCGTGTTGGTTAAGTACGTACAAGTTTTGATATATTTTATTGGAACTGAAGTGAATTTTGCAAAATAACATATATATATATGTATATATATATATACACATAATATATATATATATATATATATACATACATTTATATATATAGAATATATATAATAGTAATTTTATCATAAATAATAATACCGCGTAATCATTAAGACAATTAGTTCTTCCAAAACAAAGAAATACACATTCTCATGTGTTTAATAAATAGCAAAAATCGTTCAAGTTCCGCGTGTTGACCCGGCATGATTGTTCCCTCGTGTTAGCGACGCCGGTTAGATCGTTTAATAATCCAAATTAAGTTGTGAAATATAGTTGAAATTCATCATTATATAATCTGCAATAATTGACATTTTTGAACATCTCCAGAATTTTGTCCACCGCCCAAATATGTCTGCAGCAAAGAGCCGGCCATCGTAGATGGTAATATTACTGAATCGATTGAAAAAACTAGTAATAGAATAAGTAAATGGATATATTTGTCTAAAAGTTTTAAAAAAAAAATTCACTTGATATATTTAAAAAAGGAATCTGACAAGTTAGGGTGTGGCAATTTTTACTACAGAAAATTTTGCCTGGTCGAACTTGAATGGTTTTCGACTACGTTTAACATGGCTGCCTGCCGGGCACGTTGCCACTGCCGCCCATAGAAATGGTGGCTCTTATTCTCAGTGGTGGCTTCTATTTTTTGTTGAAACTGATTCATGCTTAAAATTTTTTCATTAGTTATAATGCACAGTAGCGAATATCTAAGAACTAACGAAAATTTGAACATTGATATTTGTTACAAAGCATGACTCATTTCGGAAACGATTCTCTGTTATCAAAAGACATATATATATATATACACGTAGAAACGCCTACGTGTATGTTCGATGCATCAATCTTTCTCTTCTTTTTTCCTGTCCTTAAAATATTTGTTGAATAAGTAAAAAATGAAATAAAGATTTTATTACGCATATGACATACGTCGTATGAAAATTTGTATTTTATATAATTTAAATTTTCAAGTATTATTTTTTAATTATTTTTTATCTTCTAATTATTTAAGTATATTTAACAATTAAATTTATTTAAATAATTAAGTTTTTGATATTTTATATTTTTTTCCTCATTAAAATTCTAAATTTAATATTAGAAAAAAGGATCAGGGACAGTTCTAGAAAAGTTGATTCTGATCGATGCGCCATCTGCATTACATTTAAAAAGCTTTTATGATCATGTCGGTAAAATTTAAGAGCCTTGAATTAGTCGTGTTAGTGAAATGAAATGATAGAGGTCAGTTAAGAATATTGAGAAAGTTTGAATAAGTGGATACAGATATAGGGAATTCATAATTAAATTTTTCCTTGAATATTTATTTGAATTTTGATAGATATATTATAAACGCATTATAAAATCTTTTTTTAAAGAATTCTTTTTTTTTTATTTTTATTAATCAATTGATAACATTATTTAATTTTAAGATTATTTGTATAATTTGTATTAATCATGATTTTACTATACTTGCAAATAACCATCTTGAATTATGAACAAAATTAAAAATTTTGAAAATGTATAATTCGCAAATGACAAAATTTCTGTTAAATGTGAACAAGCGCTTTAATGTTTCGGAGAAAGAATAGCAATGCAAGAATGAAGCGTGTTCGGTTACAAGGTAAAGCAGTTCTTTCTTGATTTCAAAGAAAGGTTCTATGCGGAGAGACGGTAAAATGTAAAGATAAAGGTCGCCAGCTGCACCGTGGCCTCGCACGCGCACACACACTTTCCGGTTACGAATGCCAAAATGGCGATGCCGGCCGGGCAGCAACCTCCCACAGTACCGTACCTGAAATCGCGAAATGGTCGTTTTGGCGCCCGATCAAATTTCTAATAAAATCTTGTTATTTCATTTTACTTCTTCTATTTCATTCTACTTCTAATTTTAATCTTTTATTTATTTGGAATCTACATTATCTTGAAAACATAATATCACTTAATAAATTTTAATAATTAGAATATAAGATAATTAAATAAATAGAAATTTAGACTTAAATTAAAAACTTAAAAATAAAACAAATGAAAGAAAAGAAAAAAAAATAATGTTTATTTTTATCTTGAGATGAATTTGTAATATTATTGTAACAATAATTTATATATGATAACAAATTTTTGAATAATAAAGATCATATTTAAATTTTTATTCTAAGTTACAGTTTAAATTTTAAAAAAGTTATTTTATTAAATACTCGTTATAATGAAAATAATAAGCAATTATTATCATATTTTTTCTTCTAGTAATTATATTTTATTAAAATATTTTTTATAAATTTGTATGTATAAATATATATATTTAATTTAATTCGAAATAATTAAGAAGGAATCCTTAAAGTATGATAACTATTCGATTGTGTTTTTTAAATATTCTAATTATATTTATTTTTTCGTTAACAGAATTTTATTAAAAATCATATAATTATTTAAATGAAATTAAAACACAGCATTGTTTTTCAATATCAATATTAATTTTTATAATGTTGCAAAGTTAAATTCTATTATTTATAAAGTAGTTGCAGTTTAAATGTATATTACAATTTTTCTTGTAATAATATAAGGCAAAAATTATAAAAAATAATTATAAATATAAATATTTTTACTAATATGATATATTTTTAGTTATTTATCGAGTATATAGATATATACATATATCATATTAGTAAAAATATATATATATATATATATACATATATTTTTAATATAATTAAATATATTATGAATACTATTATAAATCAAATAAACAATTAATCTGTGTATTTTTATTATTATAATATATAATATTAAACTCTTTCTTTGTATGATATAAAAAAATAGACTTCTATGAATGTTATGAATTAAATACAGATATAAAGTAAATTGAAGTCCATAAAAGCTTACAATATAATCTAAAAAAATATGTAAATATTTTATTATTATTTATATATTATAAAAATATTTAATATTATTTATTTTTATTGATGCAATTGTATTAATTTTCGTTAAAATATTATTATAAAATTAAAACTGAGAATAAAACACAATAATGCGTTTGAATATATTAAACATAATAATTTCTATCATTTTTATCTAATTTTGATTTTATTTAATTTATTTCAATTTATATTAAGTCAACAAACATGACGATTTGTATGTATAGGTAAGTAAAGAGGAGTTGACGAAATTGGTCCAGGGATTTGAAGAACAAGATATTTTGACGTCGTCGGGTGTCACCTTGGCCGGCAACAGGTACATTTACCTGTCAGGTACGGATCGAGTGATAAGGGCAAAACTTGGAAAAGTTGGCGTCCACTGCATGAAGACGACGCAAGCAGTAGTTGTCTCTCTTTACGAAGATCCTATACAACCACAGCAAGCCGCATCGGTCGTTGAAAAACTTGGGGACTACCTTGTGTCCTGCGGCTATTAGGTTAGTATATACGTATGTATCATTTGAGTATGGTGTTTAGCATTGAATTTTTGTTACATTTGTAGAGTAGTTTCTACGATATAATTGCGACGAAATAAATTAAAGCATTAAGTAGCGGCACCGATTAATAATTGTGTAACATACAGAAGTAGCATTTTATGCTTTTCAATAGAAAGATTGAATTAAAATTGAAAGTATATGTTAAGCAATCCCAAGCTTAAGTTTTGAGTTTATATAACGTCAATTTGCTTGAATACATAAACGTTCCATATTTGATTTTATAATCTTATAATATAATAAAAGATTATTTATATGAGAGAATTTTGAATATGAATCTAAGTAAATTTTCATAAAATAAATAAACGATGAAATTCACAAATTTTTTTCACATACGAATAAAAAGATATACATATAAGTTCATAAGTCATTTTCGCATAATTTTAGTTAACCACTTTGGCTCGATGTATCAGTTTGCAATGATGACTAATCATAGACTTACGCTGTCCCTCGTTCTTGAATTGCGCGTGTATATTGCGAAGTATAAATATTTCTTACGGATAAATATTTCTTCTTTAATTAAAAAAAATGAACAATGCAAGAACAGCATAAATGTACTTTTTCATATCGTAATATTTTTTAAAAATAATTAAATAAGAAATAGCGATATAATGATGGATCAAATATGAGACGTAAAATTTTGCAATTGAATGAAAAATGATTTAACAAAAAATAATATAAAAAATATATATACAAAGTTTTAAATTTTTAATGCTTTTTTCTTTTTTGTTCATATCAATTAAATAAGTAAAGATTATACAAGGAAATTAACAGTAAGGTATTTCCCACATTTTTTCTTTTTCTTTTTTTTGTTTCAGTAACCTCTGGGACCCAACATAAATATCTAATATTAATATTAAACGATCGATTATTTTAATGAACAGCGAATGGAATGCGTCATGCCGCACGAGTCGCGCCGGAACTGCCGCAAGCTTGCCGCGCGACATTCGATGAAAAGCAACTACATCAGCAACAACACCAGCAACACAGCTATCATATTCCAGTCGTCGTTCTCTCCTCTTCGATTCGGCTGGTCGACGTTCGAGGAACAGACGCAAGCGCTCATACACATGCGCAATAATTTTTGAAAAAACTCATAGGCATTTACTTGAAAAATGATCGCGCAAATTGTAATCGATGAGGTGCGGTCTTTTCATTGTTTTTGTTTCGATAGTAGCACTTATGTTTTGAATTTTTATTCCAATGTGTATTTACAATCGAGATGTCAATATTAACGACAGAATTCCAAAAACTTCGATGAAGAAAAAAGAAAAAAATGCTTTTTTACAATTGAATAAAAAAAAAAGAATAAAAAAAGAAATGAAAAAAATACAAACTAAAAATACATGCAGTTTTACATTTATACAGCTCCATATAAACAATAAATATTTACTTAAAAAGTGATAGTGATTGGGGATAGATTAAATAAACAATCTTTCATTTGCGAATGATCGTGTGTCGATTCGTCGATGGAGAGAAAAAAATACACAAGAAGCATGCATTAAATATAAGAAATAATGATAATAAATAATAGTAAACTATTGCGTGTTAGATTTACAGTCTTTGTAGCGAATGAAAGGATAATAGAAATGGAGAGAAAGAGTGAGCGAAATATGAAAAGGATGAAAGAAAAAGAAAGAGAGTGAACGAAAGCGAGAAAGTATGTTAGAGAAAGTTTAAAGGGATAGAAACTAAAAATGGAAAGGGCGTGAAAGAAAAAATGAATGATCGAGTAAGAAAGAGAACGTGCGAATGTGAATAATAAGGGAAAAGGGGAGGTAGCATGAAAGGATTGATTTTTTAAAGATTGAACGGCAAGAATCGTGAAACGGAAACAAGGAGCGGTTGTCTAAAGGTATGTCGGAGAGCGCAATAGAGGTACAATATCGATGATAAAGAACAAGAAAAAGAAATATGTAAAAGCGACTACGTCGATAAGATAGTGACGGTAAGGAGGACGGTGCGGATGGTGCGGGCAAACGTGCGGCAGAGGGTGAAAAGGCGTGGATTGATACAATCCTGGCCACCTCCCTCTCCCAGATCGATACAACCCTTTTAACTATTTACTCTCTTTAATATTGCTATGTGTAAGAAAAATAAAACAAACTGACAAGAGACGTGTCATTTATCGAGAAAGAAATAGAGAGGAACGGGGATGAGAACTGGAACGAGAGTCGAAGATATACACCAAGATAATATAAATATATAAATATGACATTCGAGCGCGCGTGACATGCATACAGAACACAAAATATATGATTGCAAAAGTTGAAAGAACTATACACGGAACAAAAGTATAATAATTAATAATTAAATTGTTCGATCTTCATATTTTCATTTATTCTTATATCTTTATTTTTCTTTCTTATTAAATGATCAATATTTCTTAGCACAATTTTTTATCAAAGATAATATTAATGTAGAACTAGTTGAAAATTAAATATATTAAAATGCAACATATTGAAATTTGGATCTATTAAGCATTTAAAAGAATAGATTCCTTTGACCGTGTAAATGTTTCTCATTCGATTAATGCAGTCTTATACGAGTTATATCGAGAAATACCCACGCAGTCATACAGATGCGTTCACGCGTACACATACACACGCCCATATACATGACATACATACATTTAATACACGATACTGCTACCATTTATTATTACTGTAATATTATTGCTACTATTATTACTATAACTGATTGCTTGTCGATTCGGCTGGCGTCAAGCAGCAACCCAAACTACTATGTAACGATTTTTATTGATAACAAAATAAGGAATAAACATTGAAGTAATAATTGTAATAAAAGGTAACTCCCAGGCGTCGTTGAAATATTCGCATCTGCCTCATACTTTTAACTTTTCCTTTTTTATTTGGAAAAGGAATAATATATTTTGATCCTTTCATTTTATAAAATCATCGGTATTTGAGACCAACGATGCGACTACTATATTTTTCGTGCTTTATTAAACTCAATGGCCGATAAACACTTCGACTTTTTAAGAATGTATAACGGAAGATGGTCGACGTTATGGTTCGGACAGGAAAAGCAGAAATAGAAAGCAAAAGCTGGTATATTGGGCGGGGAGGGGGGGGTGAGCGAGTG